TCAGGGAACACATTCCAAAGAACAAGTCATTTGCCTTCCATGGGGCCAGGGTCCCATTTGGGCTGAGGCCAGCAGCCAGCAGCTCGGGCTCACTGTAGGACAGCCCCGGCCCACGGCACCGCAGGGCTGCGAGGCTGCATGAAACCCCACACATTCCTCAGACCTGATGCTGGATGAAGTTAAGAACTTCAGTGCCTGAACACGCAGATCCTCACAGCTCCCGAAAACATAATACAGCTGTAGGCGAACTCTACTGCAGAACAGTGAGAGAAACGAATATCTGCAGTTATAAAGTTCTAAGCAGCCACTGTTATTAGAACCAGTCTTCATTTCTGTTTTGGAAAGCAGGGGCATTATAAAGAATAAATGTTAGCATTATTTAAAGCTATTCATTTCAAAGGGTGATAAATTACATTTCTTTAGAAGAAAGCTACAGCTCACAATCCTTCGTGTGCCCCCACTATGCCAGATTCAAAGTTGTGCTCCAAATGAGCCTCAAAGCCCGATTTCCTCAACCACCCAACAGCATAAAACTCCAGCAAATGTTGTATTGAAATCCTCATAACTCCCAAATCCTCGTATGTATGGTTGCTATAGCAACTGTCATCTCAAGCCTTCCCAGCAGAGAAAATAAGTGTGTGTCCTACCTGGTTAATCGGTATTTGTATTATGGAGAATTGAAGGGTAACTTTGTTTCGCCAAAAAATAGAACAGGCACTGAAGTGCTACTGTGCTAATGTGATATTATTTAATCTGAACAAGAATCCACTTTGCATGTGCCTTGAAATTATAGTATTTATGTAACATTCAACACAATAAGTTAAAATGTTGCTGCCAAATACACTTGGCTTACCCCACTTACTGATTTGAATAGAAGGAACGTGAAAAAAGACCCAGAAATCTGAAGGAAGGTGGAAGACTACATGGGATCAAGGGCTGCAAGTTTCACAGTGGCTGTATTACAGTTGAAACAAATAAAAAAGCCAAAGGTTAACGCAATCTGGATTCAAAAATAGGCTGATGGAAAGCTAAGAATATATGGTCGGCGTTTTCCCATTCCTCTTCATTTCAGGACGAAGAAAGCTCCCAGCATGGAAGACCACACTGGCTGAAAACCATCACTCACTCAGAGTCATGATTATAACTTTTTTTACTTGACAAATGTCCTCAAAATACTCCAAGAAGTCCCACTCGCTGCACCTATCCAGGAGCATGCTGACAGCCATCACTGCCTAGCAGACATACCTGGAAATTTATTATTTTAATCTCAGCAATTACTAAACAAAAGTGAAATCCAATGATGACATACCCCTCATATTAGTTCAATGGCACAATTTGAGAAAATAAGATCTTAGGGGAACATGCAACGTAGAGAACTACAGCTGCACACCGAGAACGGACTTCAGACCTGTGCACACAACGAGTTCTTTTAGTCTCACAGTTACACCTTGGCCTGATTCCAAATGACATTTCTTCTTCAAACCGTGATGGGCACAGGAAGCACAGACCTGTGCACGTTACTGAGCCCAGCGTGGCACTGCAGATCAGACACACTGCGCTGCTCAGTGGGGTCCTGGCACGTCTGCCACATGAAGCAGACTGATGCTCAGGTTGGCCATTAAAGGGATCTAGTTCTTCAGTACTACATCCTAGAGATTCAGAAATGTAATGTAAGCAACACTACTCATACATGGAGATACTGAATTCCCACAAGAGAAAATAGCTTGTGATCTCAGACTTTCATAACCAGGGTTGAACATGGTGAGGAGAAATGGAGAACGAGGTGGTGAGAAAAGAACCCCAACCCCACGCCCAGCTATTTCTGACACAGCCTCCAACAATTCCTCCTGCCCTGTTAACTCCTCCTAGCATCAACAGCATTACATGGAAAAAGTAAAATGGTAATAAACAAGTGCTGAAAGGTATTGTTTTCTTAACAATAAACTGACTTTTATGTACAGAGACAGTAAGACGGTATTTTAAGAACTCTCTATCACATTGATTTAACTACAGATGGTTTTTCCCTTCACTGTATTTTTCTTTGTTTTTTTGCCATGAAAGCTTAGCCTCTGGTAATCCTTGCTGTGCAAGTCTTAAAAATATTTACTTTAAGAGAGAGTCATAATAATAAAAAAGCAGCTACCAGCACCACCTGCAAATGGATGCTTCCAGATGCATCAGAGCGCATCGCATGCTGCCATACTGCTGTTTTACCACATTGCCTGTAAAAACCTGAAAATGGTCCAACACATAAAAGGAAATGAAAGATCCGTGAGACCCAGCGATCTCAGATGTGTGCCCTGCAGTCTGCCCTGTGGGGATGGAGCACAGCCATGCAGCCCCACACGGTGACCCCACCGCCATGGGGCTCGGAAAGGCAGGAGAAGGCAACGGTAGGAGCAGGCACTGCTGACCTACCCAGAGCCTCAGGGCAGAGGGGAGCACAAGCCCGAGGGCTCCCTCCCACCATTCTTTCTCATCTGTGCTCCAAGATTTTGGCTCAGTTCGGAGCATTGATCGAGCTGTGCTCCACCTGACCTCACCGAGCAGCACGTGCTCTTTTCAAGTGCTGCTCTGTATTGACTCTGCTGCAGAGCTAGGGCTTCTGTAATTGGTTTAACAGCTTTTTGAGGCCACTTTGCTTCTGGTAAGATGCCCACACATCCACTGAGGATTGAACACAGTTTTATTGTGAAAAACAATTGCCCGGGAGCACAGCAGCAGCGTTTGGCAGCATGGGCCCTCTCTGGATGAGCAAGACACACAAGGATGGGTGGGCACCACCCTCAGCCCCAAGGCCCCCGAGCCTCCACTGGGAGCTGCTCAATACTGGGCAATGGGAGGGACCAACTGGCTCCATGCTCAGTGTTTGGTATCCAAGAAAGGCTCTGAGTGAAAACATGACACGGTTCCTCCATCCTCCAGCAAAGGCCACAGCAGCATTTTGGAATACATACCAATAGCAACAGGAAAGCACACTAAAAGAATGCACCCTAAAACATGACCCAAAACGCAGAGAGCAACAGAGCAGCAGGCAGACAGGAACACGGGGCACAATCACCATGCAAGGATTGGCAGCAGCTCACAGGGACCGTGGGCTGCACCCAGCAGCAGCCTGTGGCACCAAGGAAGCCTGACTTCCTGACATCACAGCTCAGCAGGGCAGTTCTGAAGGCTAAGGGCAGACTGAGAGCCTGAGTAAATGCAAGCTGTGAATTTGCTTTTCCCATATACCACCTCCCATATATCCCATAGGTTTTATATCCAGCCTGCAGCACTGGCCCTTCCTCAGCCCTGGTCGCTCCTTTCTCTCTGCTAATGGAATTACTTGCCTTTGATGAAATACTTGCAGCATGTTTTAGTCTTTTTTTTTTTTTTTTTTTTTTAACTTGCACTAAACAAGAGAGGTATATTTAATATGCTTCCTACCAAACAATATTATAGTTGTATTTACTACAAAGTAAAATAAATCCATACAATGAAAAGCATGGTGTTATATATATAGCACCATTTCCCAGCTTAAAAGATTGGGCTGCATGAGATTTTCAACATGTACAACTTCCATTTCAGCAAAGACTTGCGTGGCTAAGATCATGCCCAATATTTTCCAGAGAAAATATCTGACAGAAAATCACTAGCAATCACAAAAAAAGTACAACACCCCCTGCCCTGCCAAAAAATAAGAAGAAAAAAGAGACTAAGAAAAAGAGACAGAAAAGAGAGCCAAGAAGCAAAGCCACTGTGCATCGCTCAGCGTAAGCATGAAGGCCTCTCTAGCTGGGGAGGAGAATTGGCACAGCTGGCTCATGGCTCAGATTTGCCACAGCCACACTTGATGCCCACACGCCAGGGAGCATCTCTGGGGATGACCCCAAGTGCAGCCACGTGTGTTGTGAGCTGCTTGTCGCACAGGTGAAGTCACACTGAGGGCAGAACTGCAGTCACAGCCCCAGCCGTGTTTGCACGCATTGTGGAAATGGACCTGTGCCCTCCTCACAGGCACCAGTTCTGCAGGGCTGCACTGACACAGGCTGCAAGGCTGTTTGCTCTGCTGGCATCATCTGCTCTCGGCGTGAAATCAGATTAATAACATCTTTTGCTGCCCTACCTGAATTCGTGCAAGAATCTTTCACTTTCAAAGCAGTACAGGGTAATTCAGCTCTATAGGTGAACTCATGGTAAACTTAAGATTTTGCTGCCAAATGCTTCCTAATTCCAGCAGCAGCCTTTGCCATTCTTCCAGTCTTTCTATCACACACTTAAATCTTTGCAGACAGCTCAAAGCCACCATCTCGGTCACCTGCAGGCTTGACACGCTCCCAGGCAAGCAGCACAAGAGCTGCTCTGTGCTTGCTGCATCAGACCAAAGCTACACACAGACCCAGCTGGGTTGAAAGCTGCCCGTGTTGTTCCTTATCTCACCCTTGACAAGGAGAGCAGTAGGGTTTGAAATACCTGAGATGTGGTAGCACTCCTTTCCAGCAGAAATCACCGCCCTTCGAGATGCAGCTGGAGCTCAGGACAGACTCTTTACCCTGTGGTGTAAATAAGCCCTGAAGCTGCTGTTAACAGAGCTGAGCACGCATCAGACAACTATGCATTGAATTCAGCACTGACCTCTAGAAGCACAGACATCTCTTAATCATTTTTTAACATTATTTTCTTACGTCTTGTATTTGAAATGATTTAGTTAAGAGATCTCCTTTTATGAACGATATGACAGCTAATTCCCACTTATTCTACTGGAAAGGGACAACTGAAATAGATGCAACAATAAAAAGAGTGGCTAATACAATTGCCATTGATCATTTGCCAGTTTATCAAATGAAGATCCCACCAGCTAACGGGAGAAGGAAAATAGTGCTGTATGTTGCATGTCTCTGTAACAAGCTAACTGGAAAGCTCATTTGGAAATCTTTGTAAAGCTGGACATCAGCATACAATTTATAGCTGTAATGAAAGCTTTTCTAACAGACACCCGTGAGCTCATTTTCACCTACCTTTTCAGCTGACTGGGCAGTGCCAAAAAATATTGGAATGAAGGCAAGCCATACTATACAGGTAGTGTACATAGTGAATCCAATGGGTTTAGCTTCATTAAAATTCTCTGGGACACCCCGAGTCTTGATGGCATACACAGTACATGTAACCATTAGAAGAATGCTATAACCCAAGGAACAAATGATTTGTAGATCCGTTATGTCACATTTGAGAACTCCTCTGGCTTGATCAGGGTTCATAGTTTTCTGCTCATCATAATCTATAATGATGTTGGGTGGGTCAACTGCAAACCAAATAAAGACACCTAGAAGCTGCACAGATATCAAACTCGACGTGATCGCCAGCTGCGACGTGGGGCTGATAAGCCTGGGTGCTGTCACTGACTTTTTGCCCTGCTCAAATATGCGGTAGATGCGGTTTGTTTTAGTCAGCAGGGCTGCGTAGCTGATGCACATCCCCAGCCCCAGGAAGATGCGCCGGAAGGAGCACACGGCGACGTTCGGCTTGGCGATCATCAGGAAGGTGATGATGTAGCAGAGGAAGATCCCCGTCAGCAGGACGTAGCTGAGCTCCCGCCCCGAGGCCCGGACGATGGGGGTATCGTTGTAGCGAATGAAGGTCGCCATGACAAAAATGGTGGCGATAATCCCGAGCATGGCCAAGAAGACGGGGATCACGGCCCAGGGCGAGTGCCACTCCAGCTTGACGATGGGGATGGAGCGGCAGCCGGTGCGGTTCTCGTTGGGCCGCTCGTTGTAGGAGCACAGCAGGCAGGTGACCTCGTCGGCCTGGTACTGGTACCCATCGCACAGCTCGCAGTGCCAGCAGCACGGCATCCCCTTCACCATCTTCTTCCTCTCTCCCGGCTTGCAAGGCAGGCTGCAGACCGAGGACGGGACTTCTCGCACTCCTCTACCCCACTGCATGTCGTCGATCTAGGAGACATGTGAAGCAGAAGGAGGCTGTTATGTGGGTGTTACCGCCGGACCACGGGGCAGCACGCTGCAACAAACAAATGGAAAACATTACATGGGGTCGACTGTGCTTTTCCAGACTGCACACCAGCGCCTTCACGCGGGACTGTAACCCAAGACTATTTACTACAGCCATTTTTCACGTTTCTTAGTAATAAATTTGTGTAGAATGGCACAGCACCAGACAAAACAGCAGTGTGAAAACCCTTTTTGCTGCATGAAAATCAGTGAGAGCACTTGATTTGGCTTATGGGAAGGCAGCAGCCACACTGCGAGACTGCCTTTCGTGCACCCAGAGCCTGGGGCTCCTCACTGAGACCACAGCAAGTGTTCTCCCCTCCTGGAACTACTGCTACAGGGGAACACTTTGAGCAAGGTGGAAACGTACCTAAGGGCTGGAATTGGTGGGAATGTGGTGAGATCTGTAATGAGAGCTGCATAAGAACTACGAGGTACAAAGAAAACAGTCATCAGTGAAAAACGCCGCAATTAGATAATATTTCATTTCAAAGTCACATCCGGCTTCTGAAATGCCACGCGTGCTTCTGGGAATGCAAATGATCAACGACTGCATTAAGTAAATGGAACACCTCATTTGTTCTGCAGTCCAAAGAATCCTAAATCTGAAGAATCCTAAACTCCATGTTTAACTCAAAATACTGCACAAAATGTGAGTCACCAATCATTCCAAAATATTCCAGACTGACCAGCTGCTAAGAACCTGGGAGGTTCAGCACTGGAGCTCCCCTGCAATAACCCAGTCTGGGACCACGGGGAGGTCCTGACACCCAGCACCGACTCATGGCACCAGATGCAGCTCAGCCACACAGCAGAACTTCAGAGACTCCTCAACCTGCAGCACATGTGTGTGCGCACAGCTTTTCCTGATGCACCACCTGATCTGCTGGGGCAAACGTGAATAAGTCTAACTAAAACAACATTGCAGCTAATAATTTAGGTTCTTCAATGTTTACATGCTCCAGCATTTCCTACAACTGAGGGATTTTAAGGTGAGCTGCTGGAATCAGCTGTCTGTGATTATTGATGTGTGCAGGAAGACTGGGGTTAGGATGTCTTAAACTGAAGGATTAAGGTGCACCCTCCTAATTTAATTCAAAATAGACCCTGTACCAACTTTGTTTCATATGCTTGAAAAACATCAAAGCCACAGACTGCTCAAATATTATACTATTGAGAGTCTGCAGCCAACGCTACAGAAATAATCCCTCAGTAACAGATGTTTGAGAGGTCTGCCCCTGCTCAAGAAACTTCATTAACCTTCAATGTTCACTGCTTATTCTGAAAGAAAACAAGACCCGGGAACTCTTCCCTACCATCGCACTGAGCTGAAGGCTTGCAGCTTACAGAAGCCGAAGAATGATTCCTCCTTATCACTGCCTTCTACCTCACCTTTCTAGAAAGATGGAAGCTGAGGCAGGGCAACTACCCCTTACCACTGCTGGTACAGCTACAGAGTGGCATTGGGAGCACTGGAGCTCCCATTTGCTATTACAGCTACTAAACACAGAACGTACTTGGTGCTGGTTTTACAGCACGCATTGATATCAAATGAGGAAAGCATCTACACGCATGCAGTTTGACCCAGGCTGCAGCGATGAAAGGGTTCTCAGCAATTTTCCACATACCTCAGAGAGCCACAGAGTTATTAATGCATCATCACATCCCCCTACGCCTTCAGACCCAGAGAATTTCCATATTCTCAGAAGTATCCCGTGCATTGCTAGATAGCGGGGACAGCCCGAAGGAATCTCATTCTGCACAGATACTGGTGTGAGGAGATAAACAGGAGATCGGGCAAAATTATGGAAAGTTCTTTTCTGGTCTGCTGGGACCACACCACGATAACTCTGTATCGCTGCCCTCAGAAAGGCTCACGGTGCTCTGTTGCTTCTGGCTAGAAAATTAATAATGAAAACTGCTGTCAGATAAGCCACCTGCCACCGAGGCAGGTGCTGGGAGCAGAGAATCCGATCCAAAGTGGAGATGCTCTCCCCCCCCCACACATAAAGAGTATTTTTGAAGCATTTTGCGTCTTTGTAATAAATCAGTGCTTCATAACTGCTTTCAGAAGTGTAAACAAAAGCAACAAACTGTTCAGCTGTACATCGGGAGCCCTGGGAGCTGATGGCTGTACCCAACGTACATTATTCTGTTCTCCTCTTCCCACCCTTTACTGCAGTTTCTGTAAATAGGCTTTCGAGAACCTGAATCTAGAAAAAAATTCTACTGTGTTGAGGAACTGTTACATTCAGTTCCTTCTTTTATTTACTTAAACCTATAAGCATGCTTCTATTTAATAGCACTTTTCCCAATACTTCTTGCCTATCTGGCCTGGAAACAACTTACAGATTTTGCAAAGTTCAGAGTTTCAGGATCAGGACCATAAGAATGATTTTTGTCCACTATTACTGTAATAGGACTGTCAACAGAACAAAACAGCAGAGCATTTCCTTCAGTACAATCTAACTAATACCAGCAAACCATGGGATTTGCTGCTGTTAGGCTCAGATAAAAGCAGTCCATATGAAAGCAAGCACTTCTGGTCTTTGCTTCCTCCCTCAGCCACCTCAGCACAGTGCCAGTCCTGCCTTCAGCCTTCCCTCCCAAGACTGGCACCTGATCTGCAACTGCTCAGAATCCGGATGGCAGATGAGAACTGGGAGGACAGGCACTTCGTCACGGCCTTGCCAATTAGCGTTCCTAATGCTGGCAATGCACCGTGCCTTGTGCTCCTCCACGCTGCCTCGTGCTGCTGTGATGCTCCCTGAAGGCTGCACACCACCACGTGTTTCACCTCCTGGGTTCATTTCCAGATGCTGGATCCCACAGGTGAGGCTGCACGTGGCTCTGGGCAGCGAGCACCCAGCACCCAGCAGCAGAGCCCACAGCTCACTGCCCACTCCATGAACACCTTGGTGTGATGGGATCCGGCCCCAGCGTTAATTCTCATCATGCTCACCACAGAACAAACATTAGCAAGAAATGCTTAGTCTGTCTCATAAGGCCTAGCATAATTGTTCATTTTAATGAATAAAGTAACTCGATATATGTCTGTAATTTAAACATCGCTGCTTCTTTTCTCAGCACCACAAATATTTCTGTAATGAGCTATTTGTTCTGAACCAAATTGTTTCATGCAATGTTTGATTAAAATAGAAGTCAGTACAAAAATAATTATGTTACTGATAATTAACCTTCTCAGAAAGATAGCTACTTTCCCCAATAGGATGTTTATAACAGTGCTGCCATTAATTTTGTGGACATATTAGGAAACTATTGCCGAGGATTGCACTCAGATTTATTGCTATCTCACAGACTGCTTTCAGACTCCTGTCACTAAGTCAGAGTTCAAACAGTTTTTGTACATTCAACTTCCCAGATAGCAATATTTGCATGACTTAGCTCTTCGGGCTTAGCTATTAATGTCTAGTAATTAGTTTTTCAATCCAGGGCTTTAATGTGATAACAGTTTTAAGCTAAGAATGTCAACAACACACAGTCAACAAAGCTTCCTGCAAAATATCAACTAAAATCCCTTAAATAGATTACAGCAGCGATAAGCCAAACAACCAGGGAAAGACACAGATCTACCACGACGGCTCACCCAGACCGCCAACACTGCATTTCACCCACTGCTGTAACTCTTCCCTTCAGCTCCATCCCCTGGGAGCAGTGGCACCCAGCCCTGCAGGAGGGGCTGCTCCCCACCACCCCGTCCGTCCCCGTGGCCGGGGCTCCTAACAGCCCTGGCGCTGCCCCGCTGCTGGCTTCCAAAATGAATCCAGCTTCGGAGGAGCAGCACCAGCACTTCAGTTTTCCCACCGTGCTGAGATACCCATCTGAAATCCATCCAAGTATTCTCCTCTTAAAACAGGAGTTAAAAGTCGCTGTGTGTGTCCTGCTCTGGTCTCTCCTACCACTGCCTGCTTTGTGCCAGGGAGGCTGTGGGCACAGCCACACCTATCATTTAGTCATCGTTTATGTGACGAGTAAATCAGTGTTCAAACCAAAGGCAGTGGAAACTCATCACTGCTCGCAGGCTTGCAGCCAAAACCTGGCAGTTGTGTGCAGTCAGCACAGCTCCTTCAGCTCACACACCGTGCCCTGCTGCCGAACCCGCACTGAGCTCCGAGCCCACCGGGCTGAGATCCCCGGGCTCTATGCTGTAACTGTTTTTTGGTGATCTCACAACAACCAGTTCTTAACCTGCAGGGAAACATGATGCATCTTCCTCTTCTCATAGTACTGCTTGTTTACTTTAATATTTGTAGTCATTTTCCACCCATCTCACCTGCCCCGGTAGCACCGGACACCACTGCAATGAGTAACAACGGTAATGAGATCCAAAGCCTATTTGTTCTACATTAAACCAAGGACAATTTTAGCACAGCACTGACTCAGAGAGAAACGCTTAATCTACAGTTTTTGCAAAAATGCTCATTATACATTCCTGTTGACACACAATAAAGCTGAAAATTAATTATTTTAATGCTTTTATATCTGACTGCGGCTTCCTGTTGTCTTCTCGGTAATAGGATGGGATGGGATGGGCCATGCATCTTCAGAATTCATCCTGCAGCCCCTGCATAACTTTTCAATTTAAAATAGAACACATACTTCCAAATGTGCATTTATAATAAGCAGTAGTTATCTATTTCAGTTGGTAAGTTAGAGCAAATCTATCTTCTTGAAGTAATCTGAGGGAATTTGTCATCCTGAAGGGGCTCACAAATAGTTTCTGTAATCAGCACCAAGCCCGTTGCTCGGACCAACACAGACTTTTGCTGTCCTTCGTGCTGTGCTCAGCATTGCGTCCCCAGCGTGCTCCATTGCCAGCCCTCTCAGAGCAGACTCGAGGCCAATAGTCTTCTTCCCTACTTCACAAACAGAAATAAGCTCATGGTGCCTTTAATATTTTACATGCAGAAAATAACAGCTGC